CGCATCTAGTGTATAACTACTGGTATAAAAAATATAAACATACTCCAAATATTGCACAAAAAAATCTTTTCGAGCTTTAGCAAACGTTCTTTTTACCTCCCCATCTTTGCCTCGCTTTGATAAATACTCTAAACTTGATATTTGATGTATGAAAAACTTTATTCTCAACGATTGATATTAACATTCCAGTCTGCCATAAAGGGAAAGCTCGAAACATATCTCACCATCGCTGACCATCATTTGCACAGTTCAATTCCTCAAACCCGTCATATACATCCATGGCATATACCAAAATCATGGAAAAACATTGGACGTCAAAGAATTAAACACGCATTTCCCGAGCTACTAAATCACATCGCGTTACTAGGAGCTGATGTTATGTCATGGAGCGAAAACGATATACCTAACATTGTACAATACTTACTACTTAAACATACCTCACGTTTTATATATCTGTTTGCTAATTTGTTTTATTCGCTGATGCCTTTTTTTTTACATCTTTCGTAGAGCAGATTTTTCCTTTGGTTTTCCCCCATCGTTGTGGATGGAAATATAGCAATATTTCAATGTTTCCTAAGCACGGGGCGTGGCGTCTTGCTTCTTTCTTCGTAATTGGTTCTCGCGCATTTTATATCGGCTAATGACGCAATCTCATTGGCCGTGGAGCGATAATGAGTTGCACGAGGCTCGTCACGTCATGTGCTGTGACAGCAGCTGTGACCCAACGCTGCAAGATAAGCATGAAGAAAAGGATTTTTTTTTCTACTACTTCTTAGAACGCGTTCAAATGCGTTCTACCGCTGAGTAAAGACAGAGGCAGCTAGCCTTGCATCTACCCCCTAATCCTTCCTACCAGATCTCGGTGTTCTGACATGCCCAACCCCGCCACGCTCTCATCTCCTCCTCTCCCTCAGTTTCTCCCGAAGCGCAAGGTCGTCTGCTTCTTCTGCAGGAGTTGCAGTGACCTCAGAACGCCGAGCTCTGATTGGCTCTGATGGAAGAATAGTGTGTAGACTTCAGGGCAGCTTGCTTCGAGGTCGACCCACTATCCTTCCATCAGAGCCAACCAGAGCTCGACGTCGTTCTGACGTCACCACAACCCCTGCAAAAAAAGCAGACGAACTTGCACTCCGCATAGCCTCGTTTCACTTTACGGTGGACTGCAGCAGATGCTACGAGCCATTTCATTTAATCCGCTGCTGTGAACGCCTCAGCCTGGGTGCTACCCGCACCGCGCGCCGCCTCAACCCAACTGAAGGTCACGTGACATTCACACGGCATTAGATTGGTTCCGATGATTCTTAGTGTCCGCTAAGGGTTATCGGAACCAATGTGAAACGCAGTACAGATAACAAGTTTAATCCACTAAAAATATACTTTCCAACGCGCGGCGAATTACAAGATCCGCAGAATCAAACCAAAACCAAGCACCTCACCTCCCCCCCAACGGCGCTTTTACGCGTTACGGCCATTCGATGTACGGCTCGTGAAACCATAAATCGAAGAAGCTGTTCGTTTTGGTTTAGAATTCTGCCATTTTAGGACGCAGAGAAGGCATGCCGATTACAAAGCAGGGTACGCATCGGATTTTTTATGTGTTATTTCTTTTTTCCTTTGTGTTTTGAACTCGGAGTGGTAAGAGCGGAGGAAACGAGCCGCTTATAGGACGCACACAGCGCACGAGTTGGCCCGAGCGTACATCGAAACGGCCCCATAATTCCCCGCGCCGCACAGCGCAATGTCAGATCGTTGAGCATCATTGCGGGATTTCTCGGAAAAGGCCCGTTGTCCATGACAAGACTAGACATGGCTCAATTCTCACCAGCTATCACGCCCGTCCGAATAGGCAAAAAAAAAAATGATGCACGAAGTATTAGGAACAACGAAGACATCAAGGCCGTCCCTCGCCTCTTCTTTCTCGCAGAGGCTCGTGGAAAAGCCAGTGTGGAAGCTCGCCTGCCATAACGTGAGCCGTAACGGTCACCAAACTGCCCAAATCAATTTCCTTTTATAGACGAACTTGCTAAAAGCTTTGATTTAACTGCATGAACGGTAATACATAATATTCACGATGAAATGTTATTTGGTAGTTAATGTAACAAAAGTGATTAGTCGTCAGCTGTCCATACAGCAGGTGGTTAGTCTGCCAGGACATGGCGACATTGTTACACACAGCAGAGGAAAAATTTAGCCAGTGCAGTACAACTCCTAGCCTAGAGTTTTTAACATGCATCGCGCAGTAGTGATAAACATGCCGCACGCCAATGGGATGCTCATCGAAATCGAAACGGGCAAGGGTGGGTATTAAACCTCCTTCTCCTTCCCTTTCTTGTCGTCGTCTGTCAATACCTCAGTCTCGGGTTTTTCACAAAAATGCAGTCAGTCAGATGCAGTCAAAAACCATTTCAAGCAGAAGGAAAAAAACGCATGACAGCAGGATTAGCTATTTATTAGGCTTTCAACGAGCTGGTTTGTTTCAGAACAGTTTTTTTAAAGTCATTGTTGAATTTAGACACCTCAACCCTCGGTTCCTGCTCGATGTCGAGCCGCGACCTGTACTTTGTTTTCATCGACCTCATAGCACAGAAGCAGAGTTTGAATTTTTGCAGCTCTTCAGCCGCTTTGCGACCCCTCGCTGAATCCGTCGCGACCCCATTTGTGGTAGAGATTCACAGTTTGGGAAACACTGTGTTATATATTTCGCGAACAATGAGGACACTGCAACGTACTTGGGCAGCGGCCGTGCTGTGAACGGTACACTGAGGAACGAGCCGGCTTGAATTAACCGCTCCGCTGACTGCTCGAGTTTACAGTAATACAGCAGCGCCATAAAGTGTACGAATAAACGGGCAGACTTCCTCGAAACGATATGGCAGCATCAGTGCAGCTATGCCCTTGTTGGAAGTACACGCACGATACACGAACTTGCAGCAGTGTAATAATTTTATCGCTGCTTTTATAGATTTGGTCCATATCGTTACGGGGAAGCGGATATTTAGGGTTCCAAACCGCTGCTCTATTAATATACATAATTATATATTTATTAAGCTGTACAAGGTGAAATAAGGTTAAAAGCCATGTTTAAATTTTAAGTGTTAACATTTTACCCGAGTGCGGCTATAGAAGGATTTGTTGTTGTTTCCAAAATCCTTCATTTCCTGAGATGTAACGAATATTGCGAGTGGAAGATTATGTTAATGATAATTTCTGTTTGATGCAAGCTCTTTTGCGCTCTAATAAAGCGGGCGTTTTTCAATTTGTATTATTTTCAAGAATTTTTTGTTCACATGCGTAGGATTCAGACAGTCTTAGGAAACTCTTTCTTTGGCCGAAATTCTCCAAAGCAGACTGCAGTCCGGAAATTACGGTACGCATAATTTCAAACCCTCTTTCTCGCAGATGACCCGTCCACGAAAATTAAAAGCCCGCGTACACGGTGAACAGAAAGTTAACAAACAGACAACCCGGTTCAGGTCAAGCATAGTTTTAAACGGAGACCAGGAACGAATTGTGTGTACTGTCGTATTATCGTATTGTGTGCTGTCGTTCCCTTCTATCGTCCGTCATCTCCGGTTTAAAGTATGTAAAACTGCAAACTTTAAAGGCCCAGTTCATTCGCTCTTTTCTTTGAAGAACCCATTCCAACAAAAAACATATTCTGCGCGTAGAAGATATGATAAAAACGGCGCTGCCTTAATTACACTGAAAATATTATTTCTTCAGAACAGTGTTCAGTGTCTAGCCCAAGCAAACGTATTTTCGTTTATGTTCCAATTACAGTTCAATCCACTTGTAACTATACCACATATAACAATGTATAGCTTACAACGATAAATTTCTAGGGTTTCTCGACTAGAAACGATCAGTTTCTAGTTCAGCTACAACGATAACCGGTCATCACAATTGAAATTCCAGATTTCCTCGTTATCATTATAAGTGGATCTCACTCTTTATCACAGTTTGGTGTCACGTGACTTGATATTGTTAAACATGCCTTTTTTATGATAACGGAATTTGCAAAGAAACTGTTCGCTAACCTCTTTTTTTTTCCGTTATTAAAAAAATATTTGGTTCTATTTTTACGAGCGTACAAGACGCCTCATAAGTATAGCTTTCGCACACAAACATACGATTGTAAGTTTATATAAGCATGTAAAATTATTTTCTTAATATTCTCGATAACTATGAATAATGTGACGATGAATGCACCGAGGTTCGTCTATAGTCAGATTTTACGGAGAGTTTGTCTTTCGCCGTGTCGACAATTCAACTTTATGCTGACGACCCCATCCCAAATGTGACTAAACATCTCACACAACGTGTGCATAATTATTATTAGCTAAGCTTACATCATGACGCCATGAGAAAATGTCTTAAAAAAATTAAACAATAGCGCCGTCATGTCAGCTTACTTTTTTATTCAAGCTGAACTAGTTAAGGCCATACGCAACGCGTGTCAAAGCAAGGTTTGGGGCGTCTTGGCACTCTAAATTGTAAAGTCAAGAAGGTACTTGTAAAAACGTCACCTTTACTGAGATGCATCAACATAACTCTCCATAACAGACTCTGTATGTATTAAATGCGCTGTGGCTAAATCAGGAATAGCGGGCCCTTTTTTAGTCGTCCAATATCTGGAGTTCTTATGATGAATAAAATACTGTTGCTTCTATCATACGACGATATAGTACGATAACAAACCTAGGAGAGTCGCTGTCCAGTCAACAATGGTAACATACAGCTTAAGAATCTTAAGTCCCAGTTAGTTGACTCATTTGTTTCATTGCTAAGGGGACACTTGCAAGACGAAAACATCGCCAGGTAATCGTAAATAAATTTTAGCAAGAAAAATAAAGCAATATCAAAAGTATCATCAGTCACAGAGCGCTTCTTCAGCGGCTGTTGATTACAGCCGGCTTGCGCGAGTGACTCGCTGAGGCCTGGAGCGAGGCAAGGTAACGCCGACTCAGCAACACGGAAACGACCTTAGTGTACTGGCCGGGCTAGCACCTACCTTGAAACTCCTTTCGGGCGGCGCTCACGTTGGTGACGATGTTGGCGACGTGTCCCAGCACAGCCGCGAAGAGAAACAGGCCCAGCACAATCTGGACCACGAGGAAGAGATACTCTCCCTTGGTCCTTGGCCTGGGCAGGTCGCCTATGGTGGTGAGAGCCAGGGTGGACCAGTAGAACGCGTGCAGGTACTCGCACAGCACGTCGCTGGCGTCGCACGCGCTGCTCCGGAACCAGCCGACCGATCCGAAGCCGTCCGTCGTCGAGATGATGTGCGACAGACACGCGTTCCAGTGGAAGATGACGAGCACGTAGTGGGTGAGGTTGACGGCGCGGAAGACGTTGGGGTAATTGGTATGGCGCTCGGTGCGGTCCAGGAAGGCCCAGAACCGGTAGATCTTGACCAGGCGGAAGCAGCGTAGGATGGAGTTGAAGCCGATGGACAGGTAGAGGAAGTCCAGCGGCAGCAGGCACAGGGCGTCGATGTAGAACATGGTGGAGTTCATGTAGTGGGCGCGCAGCTTCTCGGAGTCCGTCTGTAGGACGCCCTCCTCGAGGAATCCCGTGCGGAAGTGGAACAGGATGTCGAGGACGTAGAGGAAGTCGGCCAGGTAATCGAGCGCGAACCACATGAAGATGCTGGCGCCGCTGATCTCACAGAAGGAGAAGCGGTAGATTATCACCCAGAAGTTGTAGAGGAAGGCCACGCTCACCACCATGGACCAGTAGTAGCAGAGCCGGCCCGACGGGTCGAACACGAAGGTCCACTTGCAGCGCGCGCGGTCCGACGCCGACGTGGACGTCTCCCACTTTTCGAACTCGCGCTTGATCTCCTTGCGGCGCTGCTCGCGGGTCTTTCTCGGGATCTCAAGGTCGGAACTCACGTGCGCCCTGTTGATGAAGGCGAGGCTGGGTCGCGCCCGGACCTCGGCCGAGCCGCGGTGCTGTAGCTTGCCGGCGACGGTCTCGAGCAGGGACTGCCGGGAGGCGGACTTGAGGTTCTCCGAGGACCTGGCGCCGTACATGGGCGACGACCGGCGCTCCAGGCGCTCACCGCCAGCGGAGGTGATGATTCCGGGGACCACCCTGGGTCCGTTGGCCGTGAGGGCGCCGCCGCCCGCCCCATACTTGACGTTCTCGGGGGCCGCGTTGCTGCTCACCACCGCGATCTCGTCCAGGTCGTCGGCGTCCCGCATGTCCTGCTGCCTCGAGCACGGCGTGTACTTGACCACGCGGCCGGGCTCGACGCAGCGCGCCCCCGGACGCAGGCCCATCTTCTTCATGCCGGCCGCGCGCTACGTCGGGAAGCGTAGCGTCGCCATGGGCTAGGCCCCGCTCCGCGTGCCTCGCGCGGGGCCCGCCCTGCGACGCATCGCCGCGACCGCCCTCACAGCGGGACGCCACGGGCTTCCATCTTGAACCTCCGCCGCCTCATGGGCCGCCAACAGGTGTGACGCCGGGCCTGATGGCGCCGCCGGGCCTCCCTCGGCGCTGCAGCGCTGCGCTCGCTGTCGTCGGGCCGGCGTCGGCGAGCCCGGACCGGCGGAACACATCGACTGCTGCTCCGCCAGCCTCTCCGGGCTCCTCCGGCCGACGCGGAGCAGTCCATTGGGGACGCAGGGGGCCGCCTCTTCCGCGGACTCCCGGACATCCACGCGCCTTCGCTGTCTCGCCTTGAAGCGCTCCTAACGCCACACGCATATGCTATAGGGTCACTCTTAAGGAACTCAGCAAGACGGTGTTCGGTTACGGGAGGCCCATCAAGGGGAGGTAGGCAGATACATGAGAAAGTTACGTGAATCGGTTTTCATTGCGATAAAATTATTCGTGCACGCTGACGAAAAATATTACTTAATCGTCCACAGCAATGTCGAGGTAGTCTAATAAAGAAACATTTACACGGTCCATGACGCTATCAAATGCTATTTCAATTCAAGTGCAATCTGCGCAGCAATTTCGGCAACATTGTGTTTTGTCAAATTAATCCTAATTTTAAGCGCCGTCATACATTGCGGTCTTTGGTTGTTTATAAACTCTCTAAGAATATTAGAGCATATGAAAACGTTTCGGACCTGGTAAACCCTTCGTCAGTCCGTTAGCAAACTAAATAACTTTGTTTCCTTTCAATGAGCTGTAGGCATATACACAAGGAGCTATAAAATCCAAAAATACAGTATACGAATATCTATTATAACGTGTCAGACGACAAAAGCTTTCTTGTGCGCGGCAGATGTAACTAAATTGAACACCGACTTTGAAGAAAAAGGCATGCCAATCTATCGATCACTCTTTTTATTCTCCGCATGATTGCACTTCATATTGTCTCTCTTCGTCTGCGTCTTTCAATTTTTCTTCCTGTCATCGGGAAAGACACTTAAAAAATGCGAATTGCTCCATTTCTTTTTTTTTCCATTTTTAGATTGCGTCGAGAAGGCTGCGACTTGAAACATCAATAAAATGCCATCCTTTAGTTGATCATTGAAAGCGCGGGACGAAATACCGATCGAGCTTTCACTCGCGAATGTCGGTCGCAAATATGTGCCTGGCCTTTCTGGCTATTTCAAAATGAAAAAACAGCTCTTTTATCCTGGCGCGAAAAGGATGAGTCATATTTCAATTGCAGTTTTAAAGGGTAAATCAATTGAAACAATTTCTGAAAGGGTAATACGATTTGAGATATTCGACGATAAGTGTTCGCGCTTTAGTTGAACGATTTTGAATCGGGACGCAGCGAAAGCACGATCGGTCTTGCCCACGGTGACGCTTAGAAGGGCGACGTAGTCGTTTCAGTCACATCGTCACTCTCTTGGCAGCGCTTCCTCGTCGGGTGTCCTCGTCGGGTAAGCTGCCGATATACACCAGTGTCCGAAATCCTAGCCCCCAGCGATAAGAACGGGAAGTAATGATCTCAAACACAGACTCTTGTGAAGAGAGGGGCTGCGCACGAAACGAGAGTTTTGCTTTTTACAGCACTCTTCTCATCGGTGTTGTTCTTGGAGCTTCGTGACCTGTCATTTTGACGTTCTTGCACTGCGAAATGTGCGAAAACTTCTAAAAAAGACGGAGTCTTTGCAGAAAGCGCAGCTCCCCTACTCTGTTATGGCGTTAGCATAAAAAAACATGGCGGTGCCTATGGAACAGAGCATACACTGGTCTATGGTGACTAGGTGGCAAAAAGGAGTACGTCTGTCTACTCATTATTGTAAGAAAAAAAGCTTGCGGCGTTTTTTTGTTTTTGTTTTTGTTTTTTTCTGTTTTTTCGTATTGAGTTTCGAAACTAGGGGACAAAAACGCCAAAACCTAACGATGAATATCTCGAAGCTAATCCTCTAATAATAACTTGATTTACAATCAAAGCGATGGAGGAGTTTGGGGGGAAAAAAAGCTGAAAAATCAGCTTGACGAGCTCTCTCCTTCTTGGAAAATCATACAATTAAAAATCAATTAAGTTCAACTACACTACAAACATTGAGCAAAAGCGCACTAACCCCCCCCCCTTTTTTTTTCCACCCCCCCAAAAAAACACAAACATGATTATATCACAGATTTAAACAGAATCAAATATATAAAGCACAATGTAACCACAAATAATGACTCTAGATGCAAAAATAAATCGAAAGTAGCAATTCTTACTAAGTCATATTCGCATCCAAAAATAATAGTCTCAAACCCCTGTTCGATGTTGATCAGAGTCATATATTACAATTTTTTAAGAGGTTCAACAATTCTCAAAGTTTACGCTTTAGCATTTGTAATACGCACTCATTGTTTTGCACGAATAAATGTTCCAAATATCGCCGCAACGCGTGGGACATGTGACCATTTTCCTGGATAAACACGGTATTCGAACAATAAGATGCCTATTATGTAACATTTCGTTCTTACAGCCTATGTTTAAAAAATATGCATACATGTTGAGATTTTATATTATACAATATTTCTGAAACAGTGAAGCGTTTTCTATATTTCTTAGCATTTCTGTTTGTAATACGTGCAATTTTTGTAAGTTTTTGAGTGTGGTATTTCTTCACACTAAATGACAGTAATTTAGGTCCGATTAGAATAGTGTGTTGTATAGAAGTACTTTGACTGTAGTAAGTAAAGTATCAAGATGTAAATAGGTTAAGCCTTCCTGCTTGGTTGTTTGGACGCGACGTAGTTTGCATGGTCGTCTCAAGTCATCCATTCTATGAATAGCACGCCAAGCGTTTCAAGGAAATTCACAATTTCTATTTTGGAGTTGCACAACTTGGTATATTTATTGACACATATACTTCTGTCCATGCGACAAAAGAGAGCAAATTTGTTTTTAGAGCGCAGCTCTTAGGCGCCCGTTTCCGGCTTGAGCGGCGTCGGCGTCGGCGTAACCGCGCGCGTTGCATTACGGGACATTTCCCCGCAAAATTTAGCGGGGAAACTTTCCCCGATAAATTTTTTTTTTCTTTGTTTGTGTGTGTGTGTGTGTGTGTGTGTTTATTTTCAACCTATTACACGCAGTCTTTTTTTCCAGATCTAGAAGAGGTTTATTTCCATTTGTAATTAGTTTGTAAGGACATTTCCCTAAAAACAATAACCTGGCTTCATCTGCATAAAACACCTTTTTGCAGTTTATGTATGTTGATCATATCGTTCCAATTTGTATTAAATAAAATGAACCAAGAATGCTTCCTTGGAACACACATGATCAAATTGGTTTTATGTCGAAAGAATAACCATCTAGTTGCACAAATTGTTTTCGACTGAGTAAATACGACGTTACGAGCATCGAAGCTTTTCTGAAAAAAACATAAATATAAAATTTCTTCAATAATAAGTCATTCCTTAAGTAATCGAAGGCTTTCATAAAATCCACAAAAATACCAAAAGTTTTGTTTTTTTATTCATACGAGTTTAAGATTTTTTTTTTGTTCCAATTGAGCGTGTTTTGTTGACCGATGTTTCCGAAAACCAAATTGTGCTGCATTAAAAATTGCATTTCTATGGATGAATTTGAACATTCTAAAAAGAATAACATTTTCTAGTCCTTTCAAAAAACAGGTTATGTCAGTACAGGTCTCTAGTTTCCCATGTAGTATTTGTTTCTGTTTTTATACAAGACTGTAACCTTTGCTAGCTGTATTCGCTTAGAGAAGGCTCCTTCTGATAAGCAGGTGTTAAATATATAACTTAAAAATTGTGATATCAAATCAAAAACATATTTCACAGGCTTGATTTTGATGCCGTCTGCATCGCAGCTTCCACTAATATTCGATGCCCCCCCCCCCCCCCAAAAAAAATAAGAAAAATAAATAAAAATAAAAAGAACAGAGGTCACCCCAGTATCAACAACTGGGCTGAGAAGTAAAGATTTGCTATTCACAAGTTTTCATATAACTAAGAGCCTTACTGTCAAAACCGTCTTTAGTTAGGCCAGCGAAGCGGTCATTGAATTCAATAGCTAAGCCACTTTTTCTCAGTTCTTTGTTGTGTAAACAAATATGCATAACTGATATTGATTTTTTTTTGTGCGGTCCAGCACAGAATTCAGTTTCCTTCAAGTAGCATCTGCCTTATTTGCACACGTGACGAAAAATGTAGAAAAATAGTTCCCTTTCACATTTCTAATCTCTTTCGCTATTTGGTTGCGATATGATTCGAAAGTTCTAAGCACATCATGATTTCTCGATTTCACAAAAGTTTCATGCAACCTATATCTTGGTTTTGCTTTGCCGGAAAGTTCTGGGGTGATCCAAGGTTCGCGTTTTTTTGTTTTGTCTTGCCGAAGTAACCGGCTGTACAACACTAGAGCGCACGACACTAGAGCGCCGACATTAGAGCGCAGACAGTAGAGCGCCACGACGTTAGCGCGCGCGACACTAGAGCGCCGCGACGCTAGAGCGCGCGACTCGAGAGCGCGGCGACGTTAGCGCGCGCGGAGGTCGCATCACATTTTGGAACGGGGAAGATTATGGGAAGGCGCTCGCTGCGGGAGCTAGTGAACAGTTGAGAACATGGTGGCGGCCAACCTCGTCAGCGGCGCGGAGAGCGGTCCCGTATGGTCGGCAGGAATCTTTTCCCGAGAACAAACGCGAGCTTTTATTGCCATCGAAGTAAGCGGAATATAGCGGAGCTGCTTGATGAGGGCGGCCCCCGTCCAAGCCTTGCGAAATACGACTTGCCCGTCCGAAGGGGTCCCAAAGGCTTCGGCGCAAGCACGAACGACACCGAGAGCTCCGAGCACTGTAGAGCACTGCATGGTAGCGCAGAACGAGCAGCTCCTACCTCAGTGCCGTTCCTGGCTGCA